TTTTAGGGTGTTGCGAAGCATCTGAGTAGAGATCTGGGAATAAATTTAAACAATTTCTTTATTTGGAAGTAGCAGGCGTGTTCCAGAGTGATGTAGACTGAAATGTAATACTACGCAAAACATTTGCCATATGATCACAAACATATTCACAAATACACACTTATACATATATATTTATAATGTAATAATTTATTTGCTAATACCTGTTAATGTTTTTAAACATATTGACAAATATCATAGGGCTTATGTAATGGTATATTTTGGTATATTAATATTCTTTAAACTTCCTAAATTTATTCAAAACTTTACAAACATACATTATCCATGCTTTTGTCATGGTGATCAAGTTTGGGTAAGCACTTTATATTTTGATATTAATTGTTTATTCATTTAACAACATACATATTGACAATAGCAAATATCATATGGGCTTATGTACTGGTATATTTTGCTGAACAATAAGCAGGTTTGAGAAACATTGATGAACATTAACTTAGACTCATGTGAGATATTTTTATACATTTATGTTTCTTAATAAATGGAACAATATTCTTATCTTTAAATTCCTAAATTAATTTAAAACTTAACAAATATACATTATTCGAATGTAGGTAAAAATGGCCCCGGTAAAAATGGCCCAGGAAAAAATGGCCCTGGAAAAAATGGCCCGGTAAAAATGGCCTCGGTAAAAATGGCCTCGTTAAAAATTGCCTCAGTAAAAATGGCCCCAAATGACAAGTATGTAAAAATGGCCCCATTGAAAAAAATCAGTAATAGAAATGATATTTTTTTTTAAATCTTCAAATATTTATATACTGTAATAAGCAAGAATTGAATCAATAACAAATACAGTTACACAACAGATGCAAATTGTACTGAGAGATTATCGGAAAACAATGGCCATTGAATAACATTTTTTGATAGTAGAAATAAGTTTTAAAAACGTTATTCCACAAACAAAGTAGAGGAATGACATAAATACAGTACTACCAAAATATGCAACTCAGAGATAACAAAATTCACTTTTGTTATGTCAAATGAAATAACTTTACATGTTATAAACAGTGCAAATAAACAGTAGTTAAAGCATGTGGATTAATTGTATGTTTAAATCACAAGTTCATGGGAAAAGGGAGAGGCTTACTTTCTCACAAACTTAGCAATAAATGTTCTACTTAGAGTTACTTCAAAGAAATATTTGTTAATCAAATATTGTTTTTAAAGTAAACTGAACAATTAGGAATACATTTATTTAAGCAAATTATTTAATCGCATACTTGGTTTTTACTCCCCGCCAACTAAATTTAAGTGCCTAAAACTATACTAAATAAAGTAAACTGAGATACTATATACATAGTTATGTAAATATGGCAATTATGCTAAGAATTAAAATGATGTGTAATTGTGAGGATAGTGTAATTATGGTAGGATTAAATGGTATTGCTTAATCCCACAAACCTCCCAAAACACACTGTAGAAAACCAAACAATTCAATTGTGATTGACTCACTTGGTATATCAATAAGAAAATTAAATATTCATAAGAACCTATTTTTTGGTTAAAATGTTGATTTTTTTTTGTGAAAATACTTGCAAATACACCACAAACCTCTAAACACACTGCTAACCCCATTCAAACCCTTCATTGTAGAACTCTCTTTTTCTAAAAAAAAAAAAAAAAAAAAAAAAGTAATAATTTGATGTTCATATAAACTCATTGTTTGTGGGGTTTACCAATACCCGGATTGAATTTCTGGAAAATTGTGATTCCGCTTCCATGAAATTGGCCTTAGGTTGTGTCATCAGTTTCTGTGGTTATTTTGATGAAACACTGATGAACTGGCTGTAAAGATAGACACTTGATTGTTACAGCCTAAAGGTGCGGCGCGAAAAATAAGTTCACGAAAAAGTTATAAAAAAATTCTAGCCTTAATGAAGAGTACTGTACTTCTCAGTAATAAATCAGCCTCAGGTATAAAACTTTAAAAAGTTGCAATCTCAGCTAGGTCCCTGCTAGGCCCAAGTCCGAGGGGGCTTGGAATACAATTTGACAGGTGCATTAGTAACACTAGTCAAAGCTTAATTTGGTGGGAGTGTCTTGTAGATGTTGAGTTTCCTACTAAATTAAGCTTATATCTTGTAGTAATTGGATAATAGATGGCTAATATGTCTGTATTTTTTTTAAATGTACAATAAATAAAACTTATTAGACTCATGTAGGTAGGTAGTGTTTGTTGAGATTGCATTAGAGACAAAGCTTTTATGATCTCACCACTCCAACCAAAATGAATCAAAGCTTGATTTCTTCCGTAATTGGTAGTAGCGTCTCATAGGTGTTGAGTTTCCTACTAAATTAACCTTACAAGTTACTGTATATTCTGTAGTAATGATCTCAAATTAATAGTAGAAGATTTAATTGTTCTTACTACTCTATGTTTCATAATGCACTAGCCACTATGATTGGATTATTATTATTATTATTATTAAATTAATATGCAAATGTTACAAAAAGCAATTCATATATTCCCACCCGTATCTCCAAATTTCATACTAATGCAGGAGCTGGGAGCTGGACTGACAATCAGGAAGTGTATAGGCCTGCGCCGGTATCAAAATATACAAACTCTACTTTCACATACATACATAATTAAGGCCCTTTCACGTCTGTTCAGGTTCCAGTTTAAGTTTTCTATTCATGTTTCAGTTTTTTGATAACTGTTCAAATCTTTTCAGGCTAGGTAGTAGCTAGGCCTAGCCTAAGCTAGGAAGAAGAGTCAGCTACCTGTTATTCCAAACCTTGCCCCAGTTTTGGAAAATACGATGCTCCGCTGTTTGTCGTCTCTGTAATCTTTAGAAATTTCATCATATAATATTGTATTTAACTGGATTTGCAATAGCAATTCTTCTATAACATCATCACCTAGACATACCTAGGCCTGATCTTGCCTCTGCTGACGCCATTGCACTCTCTCTCGCCTCACTTCAAAACTGTGGCTTTTGATTTGTCAGAAGTCGTCCGATATTCAACCAAGTGGGAAAAAAATCGGTCGTAGACCGATTTGATCTGCTACCGTAAACTATAGCCAGTTGCCGTATACCAGAACGGAGTAAATGTGAACAGAACATGTCTTCAGCATGGATATAATAGATATCTGTTTTGTTTTGCCTGAACATGAGCTGGGACATGAACGGAAACCTGAACAGATGTGAAAGGACCTTTATACAATTTTAGGGAATTTATAACAAATTAACGACACTTTGTTATTATCTTTGTAGACACAAACATATTACGAAAAGGAAGATGTTTATAAAACTGTTAAAGTAAATAGTACCTTAGCACCATTGACCGCTATCAGTTACAACGCCACCATGGGTGAGAATGTCACGAGCTTGGTTGCAGGAGGTTATACTGAGACTTCAATGGAGGTGTTCAATGGTACGATTTCTGTACGAAAAGTAGGATACAAAGGTGGCATGAATGTGCTTGGTAAGTATACAGCATAAATATCCTATGTATGATACTAGGAATCTTTGAATTTAACATAGTCTAAAAGAGTCATGTTAATTTAACTGCGCATGTTGGAAAGCTGTAGGTTACATTCTCTCCTTAAATCCGGAATGGACCAGATCTATGTTTAGACAAGAACCAAACTGTACACTGTGAAACAGTGGGTACACGTCATCTTTGGTTGACAATAGAACGTAGAACGCATACGACTCTGGTCACAGACGAGTGAATTTTTTCTGCTTGCTCATTCAGTGCTCTCATTTCCCACAATTAAAGAAAAACCAACAAAGTTTTGTTTTTGTGTTTACATGAACTGCACATGACAAACTTTTTCAGCATCCAACTAAGATTTTCATGTTATTTCTATTGAGTCCATAACACATACAGCTCTCTCTATGTGACTGTTTGACTCTCAGGTGATATTTCGAGAAATGATATTTCTGTACAGAGTAGACAGAAAATTTAGCACATAACTCTTTTTTGGATATCAAAAGATGAAAGATTCAAATATTCATTATAATAAGTATACCTGTACATAGAATTTATATGTATAAAGAAAAAAAATAACACTACAGATTTGATATTGAAATGGTAAGTACAATAGTTAATTGTCCTGTCAGTGTATTAAAGATAAATTGCATGGTAAATTGCTGATATATTAATCAGTTTATTGACATATCAACTGATTTAATTCTTTTTTAATATGCCTTTATTAATCAAGTAAATTAGCTGATTTATCTACAATTCAATATCGATTGTTCTACAAGTTATCAGATAATTTATCCATTGATTTATATATTGTGTATTGTAATATTATACACACTCCAAGTTTACTTGTGATGTTTTCAATAAAGAGCAAAATGTTGAATCAATATGGCTTCCTTGCATCTTGTTGGAATATGTACGAACATTATGTAATCAGGAGATACTGTGATGGAATAATTGTCTCTTTAAATTGCTGATTTATCTACAGAACACCAGTTTATCTGGTGAGCTACAATACAAAATATTAATCGATCAATATATCAATAAATATATCTAATCAATATATAACTCATGAATACTTAATTAAATTCATTTTTTCTAAGAGGCCATGTGAATTATTTAAGGTGGACATTGCTAAAATGAAAGTATATATTGATCAACCTAATTGTATGATATTACAAACATATATATATGTATATATATATATATATATATGTTTGTGTGTATGTATGTGTATGTGTATGTATGTATATGTATATATG